CTTAGTCTATTAATGATACAGCTGGACTGTGAATCTCCTTACAGAGTTGGAGATTGAACCACAAGCCCTGCAGGCTCCAGTGGGAGGTTTCTGGGAGTGTCTTGAGCAGAACTGGGCTTCTCTGGTGGATTTGTGGTTTGGGCATGCACGATGTGGGGCTGGTGGGATGGGGAGCGGGCTGATGCTACGTGGGAACAGTAAGCTCTGAGAAGTGTGTTGGTCCCATCACAGACACCAGCAAATATCCAGCTCTGATCTGCTTGAAATGGAGGAGCAAGCGAGGGCTGAAAGGGAAATGTGTTCAGTGGTGCTTCAGTACTGCTGTCTGCATGAATAGCTCCCGCACTGGGAGAGGGGCTGGGTACGTGGGTACTTGGCACTTGCCTCCTATGAGGGATGCAGAAGAGCCTCACCAGGAGCCTCTCAGGACACTGCGGTGCCAGATCCGTCCTGGCAGCAGAGATAGGGCTGTTCTTTCCAGGGCTGAACTCATCGGAGATCCACGCTACAGCCGTCTCGAATGCTCTGAACTGCCACAATGGTTTGCAGAGCAGCAAAAGCACCGACTTACCTAGGAAGCATCAGATGGATCACGCACGGCTCCACAGCCTTTGTTCCCTTGGGACTTGTGCTTCTTAAAGACGTGTCTTGGAGAAGGGTCTCTGGGTCTCAGAGGTGCAGTGGTCAACAAACCTTGTGCACAGGGAAGATAAGGTGCTTCCTCCAAGCGCTCAGGAACTCCAATGCATCAGATACATAACTTAGAGCCCCCCACTCTGAATTAGGCTGGTAATCTCACCGCTGGGCAGCTCTTTCTTTTGGCAGCGTAACTGTGGCTGTGGATGAAACAGAAAGTAGCGTGCGATGTAATTCTACCCAGGACTGTGGCTGTGGATGAAACAGAAAGTAGTGTGCGATGTAATTCTACCCAGGTGATCATTTGACACCATGACATAGATGTACAGTTGTTTTCTTTTTGAATTACAAATTCCTTGTATAAGTGATGAGTTAAACAAGCTAACTTCCAGCCTCATCTCTGCTACTGTAAGCCTGGAGCAACTCCAAAGCTAGTTGGGGCCAAAGAGAATAAGAAACTTTGCATTTTGAAATGACTCAGCTTCTCATTCTGCTGAGGTTCAGCCTCAGCAGAAGTAAACTAGAAAAATGATCAAGATGGCATTGATCAAATGATCAACTTGATCAAATGATCAAATTGATCAAATGATCAACTAGAAAAATGATCAAGATGGCATTTCTCAACAGCTTTATTATAAATATAATGGCATCCTTTTTGGTGACTTCTGAGCCGTCTTTTAGCGCCATTCATTTATATAATTATGTGACATCTCAGCCACATGTCTGAGGATGAGGAGTGAACCATCTCTGAGCTACCAAATGCTATGAAAACCTAGCAAGTGGAAAAGCCAGATGTCCATCTAATACAGAGAGTGCATGTTTGACAAACCAGACAGGGAGAGGAAATTGAGTGATGCATGCCCCAAAACACACCATATTACTTTTTGCCTATATGGACAATTTCTGCTTCTTAGGATGTAACCAGATTAACCTTGCTACTATTGTCCGTCAGGGTGCTGAGTCAGTCGTGTTCCCATGGCTGTGAAAATGTCAGCTATAGGGAACGGGAAGGGCATGGGTTTCTGCAGTGATGGAGGTCCTCAGAGTAGCTGAGTTAGAGTGCTGGGGTGCAGCTGTGGTAATTCTTACCCACAGTTTCCAAATGCATCTATTTTAGGCATGAGGAGTCCATCTGTGTGATTTCAGCTACTACCTTAACACTGACTTCCTGAGATTTCCCCCTCCCTCCTGCCCTCCTGCCCTTCTTCCAATCTCCTATCTGTGGCTCCCCCTCCCCTGCATTTCATCTCAACTGGTTTCCTGCTGGGTAAAATGCACATCCTCCTCTTTCTTCCCATTCCCTCCCTTCTCTCCCACTGTTGGCAGTTTTCCAGTCCAGCAACCTTGACCTTATCTCCAGTTCCTTCCATTTCCTCCTCTTCAGCTAACACTATCGGTGAACTCTGCCCATTTTCCTCTCCTCCATCCTCCAAAGGCTGGCCATGCATCCTGCTGGATATGTTGTCATTTCTTTCCTTGCTGACTACAGTCCCCTCTTTTCTGGCCTCCTTTATGTATGCCTCCGTGCAGGAAGCTGATAGGAGTTTGGCTGAAGCTTTTTTTTTTGTGAACCACACTGAAACCAGTGGGAATGAAGCACCCCCCTTTGTAAAACTCTGACTCTTTGTTTGTTTGGAAAGAGCTTTTTCTAAGGGTGCAACTGCACAAAGAGCTCTAAGTATAATGATAAATGTTAAGCCACCCTTAGCAGTGTGGGTATTTTTACTTGTTGCATCCTACAGTGCAAAGAGCGGGGATGTCGGTGAGATCCTTGCTTGCTCCCCCACTTTCTTCACGTGCATGTTTGGCCTTTTGTAGTAACAGTCTCACATGGTGGGGAGGTCTCTGTGGCTTGGGGCACAGCGGGCCAGCGGCATGGTTGTTTGGTGCACTCGCCATTGCTGACAATTGCACTCAGCAATTTGGACGTCTGTTTCAGTCGGCTGGGGGCTTTGGCGTCCAAGCTAAGGATCAAGGATCGTGCCTATTTTAGAAATGAAGTCACCCTGTTACTGAGACTCCGACAGCAAGTTTTGGTCTACCTCCTTTGCTGCATCCCTCGTTCTTTAACATTATTTTTCTCTTCTTCAGTCAAATTCTCTACCTGTGTTCAGGTGGAGCTCAGCTGATTGTCCTTGCTGAATTTCAGCCACTCATCTGAGGAGGAAGGTGACCCTTTGAATGTTTTTTGTGTGATATGATATATCCAGTGCATCACCGTGCTTGCAAGATTACTTTTATCTTGTCAGTATGGTGATCGGTTAAGTATGATCAAGCTCTTCAGAAAACATTACTTTCTATTCATTCTGGTTTCGTTTGTATTCTGTAATAATTTTGAGAGTGATTACAATCATGGAAGTGCTTTGTGGCTCATTAGTGACTTCAGTTCTGTGAGGAGAACCTGCCGCTGTCTGTCATACAGGAGACTGCGTGATCTACTCTGGTCAGAAAACTGTATTTAAAATGTTGTCAGCAGCAGGATCCAGCAGAGTTCCTTTTACTTTGTCAGATTACTCTCAACTTAGAAGAAATATTGGATGTTAGACCTGTGCTTGGTATTTCCTGCGTTTCTTCTAAAGAGGGCCGTAGGGAAAAATCCGTATCAAGTGTGTTTCATGGCCACAAACTCCTGAATATTCTGCTTTCAGTTGTCATGATCTTGGTCATTTATGGAAAGAAGGCAGCTTTCATGCTGAAACCAGAGGAATTATGCATGTATTGGTGCCTGACCTCTGTGGGAGGCTGATTCTGGAAGGACTCTGTTGCATTTACCAACCCTGTGAGAAATTTGTAACCCATTTTGCAGTCTTAAGTCGTAGCTGTAGACTGGCTGGACCCAGTCCCTGGTGCTTCTTCCCCAGCCTCTGCCTTTTTTGTGTGATGTTATGGACGGGATGGCTGAGGACATGTCCCCAGGTGGCCACAGCTCCAGCAAGCTGTAACCCTCTGCCAGCAGGTCCAGAACCATGCCCAGCCTGTGAGTGTCTCTTGGTTTCTGTGCTTTGGCAGTCTGTTAAATCTCCTTGGAGAATTATTGTGGAGTTACTAAGTCTAATTTTCCTTTTTCTGAGATGCCTACCTCTCAGAAGGAAGTTTTTGCATCACCAGCAACTCAGTTCATGAAGGTCGCTGTTATGAGTCAATGGCTGTTGGTCATGACATGGGTTAAGCACAGATCAGTGGTCAAGGCATGAAAGGCTCTATGCCTTCCATGCTATTTTTGTCTGTAGCCTAATGGATTGGCCCATCTTTTTCTTTAATGTATGTGCATGAACACTTTTATTAGTAAAAAGGCCCTCACAACTTAAGACATTTGGAAGAACGAGAGGTGGCAAAGTGCTCCTCCATTGGTCCTCCTTTCTGGCATGACTAGCTTGCTGGCCTTGGCTTAGAAGGCAAAGCGATGAGATGAAGCATAAAACATGCTGTGTTTTTAAACGTGGAAAAGATGAGAATGGAGTGCCTCGTGTGTTGTACGTGAAAGCATTCCTGCGATGGTGCTACATGCTGCTCTGCCATCCTAATTTGCTTTCAGAGGCCCCCAGTATGATCATTCTTTGTGTTTCCTAAAGGATGCAAAGACTAAATACGAGTTTTGTCAATGGTTTCATTGTTGATTTCTCCCACTGCTACAAAGCAATGCACAAATATTAGGGACAGGCAGGGTGCATCTCACTGAATAAAGATATTGTCTCTCTCATAATTCAAGTCGGATGCCTTTAAAAAAGGAAAGCCCTATGAAAAGTGCTTACAAGGCTGTTTGGACAGTAGAAATCTTTTGTAAAGTGTAATTTCAGCATCCTTCCCAATGGGATCCTTCATGCAGGAGAACTGGCCAGCATTTTGGAAACAAACCCAGCCAACATTAGGTTTGGACATCTGCTTGTTTTAAGGTTGCCTTCACAATTTTCTCTGTAGCTGAAGATTGGTACTTGATGTCTATGTGAAAATGTTGCCAGAAAAGCAATGAAGTTATGCCAACTGTTTCTTTCATGAATGCAGCTTCTTAGAAATGACCGCTTTATGCTGGAAAATCGTCTTGTTTGCATTGCTCCCTTGGCTAGAAGGATGAGAACCGTTTGATCTTGTCCTTGTACAAAGTTGTCCTAAGTGAGCAAAAAATGTTTCTTGAATCAATTTAGCTTTAAACCAGGATGATCTCCTGCCTGAGTATATCTAGACTGAGTGATGGTAGGCTTGAATGGCATTAAATCAAGTGACTTGTGAGGAAGGGGTAGTGGTGTCTTTTGTCTTTGCAGGACTGAATTTGAGAGAATCTAGTGCTCAAATTTTCTGGATATTTTCTTCCTCCTTGCTTAAGTCACCCAAAGGGAATTAAAGCATATCTTCTCTTATTTCAACAGGGACCAACTCGCATGACATCTGATCTTGCATCTTCTCCTGCAGCAGGATATGTCCCTGTTGGTCAGAAACCAGAGGCTGTTGTGCATGCTATGAAGGTAAGGATGCCACAGACGGCCGTGCAGCGCGGTGCAGTACAGTGCAGTGTGGTGCAACAGACACCGAAGTGGCAGAACTGGACATTTCCTCTTCTCGTGGAAATGCAACAGCTAGAAATAGAAAGTTAGTGCTCAGGCAGATTATTGGTAACCAGCACCTATATCATGATGAATAATCATTGCTTCAAATAGTTGCGGAGTTAAGCAAGATCATGCATGACTATTTTTTTGGGTGGGAAACCTCCAACAGAAGCTGCTGATGCTGAAGGTGTTGGTTACCCTTTCTGTTCATCAGTCCTGTGTAAACTGGGTTTCTGGGGTGACAGCGGTGACCGAAATGCTGTTTTTAACAGGGACACAAAAACTGCAGTTCCTACATATGTTTTGTTATTGAAAATCCTGCAGCAGTCTTCAAAGGAGAAAGACTTTTTTTTATGTAAATACACAGCAAACCATGGCATCATACCCATATAGATATGTGCATCATCAGTGGGGATTAAACTCAGGACTGTTGGCAAAAAAAACCATGGGACACCGCTAGCTGAGTTAAAGGAGAAAACCTGCACCGTGATTTCACAGCAGTTCTCAAGCCCTAGTGACCATCCATGAGCAGGAAAAATGTAATACCCTGGTGTTACATGTTTAACTAGTTAAGCAAGTTACTTCTGAGTATCTAAGGGACACCAAAGCACAAGTCCTTTCCAAGGTGCCATAGGGATGGCTGGAAAGTCTCTACCTAAATTAGGCTCTGGCTGGAATATACTGATTTATAGATTTGGATTTGTTGAAGGTGAAAAATTTTGTACAGGGTTAAAAAGCTTTCACCGAATAAAAGGAGGATTCCTGGATGGCTACTCTGGAGCTCAGGTCCCCATGGTCATAGCTGGAAAAAAAGGTCCAGCAGTGGCATCAGCACTAGCTTAGACTGTCCTAGACCTGGAGACTGGTGCTTACAAAGCTCCTTGCTTTGTACCTTTCCACATCTGACAGCTAAATAAATAGCACAGATGTTGCTTGTAGCTTTGATCTACAAGTTCCCTAAATTTTCTAGTTTTTAGTGTTTTCAGCTTACTTTTTTGTGCCTGTCCAGGGTCTCTTGGCTCCAGGACAGATGTGGCAGGTGGTGGTGGTAAAACTAACAAGTGTCAGGAGAAGCAGTAGTGCAGCTGGCAAGGATGTTGGTTCTGCTGGGCAGTTGCAAGATCCCGGGAGGATACTGAGTGTCACTATTTCTCTAGTTCATCTTCTATGCATTTATGGGGTGTGAGGAATTATGAAAGGAAAGACAAGTTTGGTTTGATTTGGATCAAATTTGAATTTAAATTATAAAAGATCCTTCAAGCTGAAAAATCTTGATTTTTCAGCTTACTTGAGGCTTTATACACCCAGATTGTATAATTCTCATTGGATCTTAAGAGAAGGGTGTCCAGCACCGCCAAGGATTAAAAAATACCTTTAGTACAGTTTTTAGTAGTTTCCAAAGGAGCCCTGACCGCACAAGTGGCAGTTCACTTGCCTACATGTATTTGTCCTGTGTTTTCCAGACAAGTTTCTTCTTTGCTTGTTGCGAATGATTCTGTGCTATCAGAAAGTTGTTGTGCTCCATCCTGTACCATGCTGCATTGCACTTGTGGGTGACATTTCTCCTGTATATATATGCATATGGATCTGCTAAACCGAGGCCTTGCAGAACGTTGCAGACTCCTGTGATACCTTTGTTTTTCTGACACTTTGTACTAATCCAGTTTCGCTTGCATTTAATCATCCAACCCCTCTTGCAGTCCAGACTATTGCTGTTGGCTTTTTCTTCCCAAACTGTGGGGTTCGTACCTTTCTGCTCCTGCTCTTCATTGCGCTTGGTGAGGTGGTAGTGAGGGACAATATTAAGCAGAGTTGATAATGTTTTTAAGTTACAAGATCAAATAGTTATAAATTGATTATGAACATATTCTGGAGGGAAATTAGGTTCCTGTTTACTTTAGGGGTTATGGGACTGAATTTCTTAGTAAGGGCATAAATGGTTTTAAGATGCAGTTTGATAAGCTTATGGAAAGGATTGGAAAATTAATGAGGAAGATTCCTGGAAACTGGAAATTAAGTTTGGGAGGTCTGGCGCAATGATGCATATAAAGGAGTTGAAAGGAAGTTGGATGACTGGTTGTTTGCACATATTATTATTATTATTATTATTATTATTATTAATCCTCTACTTCAGAGCTTTGTTGATCACTAGGAAGGGCTGGAAGAAATTCTCCTCTGCAGTTTCATAATTTGGCCGGTGGGGTACGTTTGTCTGTCTTCAAAACCCTGAAAAGTGCCACAGCTGGGGTCGGGAAGCAGGTGGCATAGCAGTCACTTCTCACGGGGCATAAATGATCTCACGTGATGTGTCCTGCTCACACACAGGGTTAAAAATATTCTCAAATTTGAAGCGAGGAGGAAATTCTCCTGTAGGTCCGTGTGACAGGAGGGATGAGAAGGTGGGTTTTTTCCATCCTGTGGCCCATTTCCAAGGATCAGCTGGAAATTGAAAAGACGGAGGAAACTGGTCATGGTCTCAATCTCTTCTCCTCCCTTCTTGTGGCACAGTGAAATTGTGGCTGTTGGTCTCCAGCCGCGGATCTTAAACTGGGTAGAAGATAACATTTTTTGGCCACGGCATGTGTAGCATATGGAGTAGGTCTTATTTGCACCCTGCAGGACTGGGCAGTTTTTCCAGTGCCAGCCCCTGCATGTGGGAAACTGGATGCAGCTACCAGCTTAGACCCTCTCTGGCTGTGATACAGCTCATGACCTTCCCTTGAGGAGGAGAAGAGAGTAGCCTACAAATGAGACTTTGTGCTTTGGCTATACCACATCAGATATTAGAAAAAACCCTTCTTGGTTGTGTAAAGAAGTCCTTACGGCTATAGCAGGCTAGCTCCTTACCACGAGGAAAGGCAAGGACAGCTGGAAGTTGGCTTCGCTTGTCTTGCAGGCTGCTTGAATGCAAGTCTGGCCAGAAGTGGTGTGGCTGCAAGGATGCGGCTCTGTGCCCAAGCAAAGGTCACTGAGGGGCTGTGTACTTTGCACAGATCTGCAGGGCTTCTGGATTGCCTCCGTCTGCACCCATCTATGTAATGTCCCCTAGGCTTTTTCCTTGGCTTTTTCTGGCAGCTGAACACTAGCTATGTGGCTGAAGCGTTGCCTGCCATTTAGCTTAAGTTCTTCCTTGAGCACATTTAGGGATTTTCTTTATTTTTGCTTCTGAAATAGTTTTTGTTTATTTGCGCCTACTAAATAAGGAACAAGATGACAGGTTGGCACTCCTAACAGCTGTTTTTGCTAACAAGAATAAAAGGTACATATGCTACAGCTCAGTATCTCGCTGAACATCAAAGCACTTTTCTTAGGAATTGAGCAAACCTGCTAAAGACATGGGGAGGTGAGGAGGAGACAAATGTACGAGATCAACATTTAGCCTATAACCCAACTCCCCCTGCAGCAGCAGCCTGGACCTCTCCCATGTGCGCAGAGCCATCGAGCAGGTGATCAGTCACTCCTTCCGATGTTGGGTAAGGCAGGATTTGGCCCTGCCAAAACTAGGGAAAAAGCCTAGCAGGGCATATAGACTGTTCCCTTGCCGAAGCAGGATGCCGTGTTCCCCAATGTTTTGTCCAGTTGACTTATAAATCAAGAAAATCAGTGAGGCTTGCACCCTTCAGAAAGCGTCCCTCAATCTCAGAGTGCTTCCTGGTACAGAAACGCTTACCTCAACTTTCAATTTCCCTTCCAAAGCTTTACTGCAGTCATCCCGACTCTTTGGTGAGGTTTTTTTGTTTGTTTTTTAAATACGCATTGCGTGGTCATGCGGGGCCAGTACAGCAAGTCAGCAGGGAGGTGGATGTGATGGACTGGGTGACTTTGAGGTGGCACTGCCTTGGTCACAGACGTCAGTGCAGTCATGAAGGAGAACTAAATATACCCGAGGTGTTCCTCGCAGTTTACGTATCGGCAGGGAGAAAACCAGACGGGACAGTGTGCTCATCGAGAGCGAGATGCAGGTTGTCTTCAGGAGATGGCATCCCCAGGCAGAAGAGCAGCGTTACCCAATCCAGCCCCATTCCCCTGCACGGGGAATTGCCCCGTGCCCGAGCAGAGCAGGCTGCTCTCGCCGGCTGGCGTTTTACCCAGGGAGATCACATAGCGCTGGTGCATCTGCAAAGGGCCAAGTGCTGTCAGTGCAGCTTGACGAAGAGCAAAAAGGAGGGGATGGCGTGAGCCGCTTTGAGCCTGGGGTACGCTTGTCTGTTTTCTGTAGGCTGCGGGGTTGGGATGTGGCAGAAGTCACAGGAGGATATACCCCAGTTTCTTAGATCCACACTGAATCCACAGTCCTTGAACTTCAGCTAAGCCATAGACAATTTATGTGAAGGCACGTCCATAGTCCCCAGCAGTGTAATCGGAAGAACATTAACCTGGTCCTTCTAAACAGCTGAGGCGGCGCCTGGCAGGATCTGAGAATGGCTGGGGCTGGGTCAGCACTAAGAGGCCTTCCTGTCTTTCTTCAGGAGGTGATTTCACTCTTCAGAGTGTATTTTTTTCCAGCATGCCTTTCCAGGATAGGCCGTTGAGTTTTATCCCTCCAAATCCCTTTTTCCCATGCCCAAGATGCTAACGCATCTTTACAAAGTGCCTACCCAGACGTGGGGTGGGCCTGGGGAGCAGGATAGTTTCCAGGGTAAATGAGTCCCAAGTCATTCAGAAATGAAATACAACCATAACTTCCGTCTGATCAGCTTTCAGCTCCAGCTCTGCCTGGCTTACACCATTAAAAGACATTTCCACTGACAGAAATGGGCTGCACCACCCTTCCACACCTCCTGGACTAGGCAATGCGGTTTTAGTTTAAGCGCAAGTCATAGAAAAACAGCTTATTTTTGTATGCTGAGACTCTTGTGCCTGCAAGATTGATAGCAGGTGAAGGCAGAGGCTGGAGCTGACGTGATCTTTAACTAATCTAAACCATGGTTGTCCTTGACACTTGCCCTGTGGACACAGCCGGTGCTTAGCTGCCAGTCAGGCAGCCCTGGCGCTCCACACGGGGATGTGATCCTGCAGGCTGCTGCCTTTGCAGCTGAGAGTCAGAGGCACACTGACTCCAGATGAACGAGTTCGATGGGCAAGTCCAGCTGGATCAATAATTAATTGCCTTCTCTTTAGCAAAAAATAGATGCTCTCTTTGTCAGCACGTACATGCCTTTTGCATCCCTCTTGCCCTTCCCCTCCTCTTAGAAAGGATGTGGATAATTCTTATTTGTGCAAAGATTGGTCCCAGCTATGTTGGTTAAACTAGCTGGTACATTTTAGAAGTAGGTTAAGGGCCCTAGGAGAATGACCTATTTTTGTTTGTAACGCAGTTTGAGTACTGCAGGATTGCTGTGCTGAGGCAGACCAGGGGATAATCTACCCTGGTATCCCGTTTCGTGGAGCAGCCGGTGCTGCCTACCTCAGCAAAGGGTGAAGCCAATCCTTGCACTGAATCTAGCTCTGTACTTCCCTAGGAGGTGTAGGAATACTTACGCACACAAATACACCTGCTGTACAGCTGTATATGCGTGTGGATGTATCGAGGTGAATAAGACCACGTGCTGTTTGACGGCATTGGGTGATTCCAGGAGCTTTGACGCGGCACATGGAGCTGACCATCTTGCTCATCAGTGGCCCTGGGTGAGGTATGTGGGTCAGCACAGATGCAGCAGTAAGATCTCGAGGCAGTCCTGCGCTGTGATATGCCCAACTTGTGCTACATGCCTGTCCAGAGGAGCTATCTGAATGCATGCGGATGTGTTGGAGGGGGTATTCTGTGGGTCAGTGTGTTTCCAGCGGGAAGCGAAGGCTGCCCTTAGCCCCAGGCAGCCTCATCTCTGTGATCGAGGGACCACCTGGCCGCAGCCAGGCACTGTCTCCCTGGAGGTGTTCTGCGGGGGTGGCCGGGACGGTGCGTGCCCCAGGCGGGACGTGGGGGGCCGGGGCTGGCTCCCAGCTGCTACAGAGGTGCAGGGTGTGGGCAGCACGTGGTGGGACACTGCAACCACATAGACGTACGTCTTACCAGCCATGTGTGGCCTGGGGATCTGTGCTTGGGGAGCATGTCTCCAAGTGCTATTTAAAAGACAGACGTTAAAAATCAGATTTTTTCCATTTTCAAACATTGTCAACCTGAAATCTAAGAAAATAAGTGACAGGCAGGATGTTTCCACTTTTTTTGCAGTGTCCTGAGCTCCTTTCAGAGCGTGTTTACTTGTCTTCCCAAGGCGAATCTGCAAGTGTGGCCCAGCCACCAGGCTGAGTGGCAACCAGGGGGCCCACGAACACGAGCACTGGACGTGTCAGGTCTGGGGTGTCAGTGCTGGAGCTGTAACCTCTCTATCTCTGCAATGAAACCTGGTTCTTCCCAGATCCGGGAAAGCCCGCTTGGAGATGCCCTCCGAGCCGCAGAGCAGAGCCTCCTTGGAGAGTCTCAAATCCTTTCCCCCCTCCCTTTCAGGCTATTCCTATGCTTTTGCAGCCATGTCTCCATTTTTGCAGTGCTTTCCTCCCATTAATATCATGGGAAAAGCCCCGTAGTCATGAGCAGGAGGGAAAGGAAAGGCGATGCCTCACTCCTCCAGAGGCTCCTGCAGGCAGTGTGCTGCAGGCATGTACCTGGGCCCGCTGCCTGTAGCCAGGCATGAGAGGAAAGACAGCAAAACGGAGCTGCTTGTGGAGGAGCAGACAGGCCTGGCGCCAGCACTTTGTAGGTATGGCCTGTATTCATCAGCGTTTGTACCAGCTGAACTCATTGAACAGCCGGTAAATGTTACCCTGTAGCCGTGGCTGCAATCCTGGCTGTGGGTGTGTGGGCAGGGGATGCGCGTGCGTGCCAGCCCCGGCCAAGGGCCACCTATTCCCTTACCTTTACAGGGCATGTGCTGTGGGTGGAAACGGTGCTGACGGAGATTAAAGTAAAGCTTGGGGAGTCGAGGTGATTATCTCCATTTTCAGAGGGCGTCTGTGGCACAAGGAGAGGGTGACCCAGATTCACCACGGCACTCAGCACTCGGTGGGGACGGCGCCTTCAGAGGGCTGCGGTCAGCACACAGGGTCCTGGGAGGCAATACTGGTTTTTTCCCCATTTCCCATCCTCTTCACAGCCTGGCTGCGTCCAGCTCAAAGAGGGAGTGGGTAAGAGCTGGGAATCAAATCAGTATCTCTTGAGTCCCAGGGCTCTGTGCTAACAGCCTGTCTCTTGCTCACTGTCATCGTGGGCCTCTGAGGGGTTCCCTTGAGAAACTAAATAGGTTAAAAACAATTTTCAGCCAAAAGGTGAGTGAAATTGGCCGTGTCTGTTTAAGATCTAAAAGTTCATGGCTGATTGGAGACCACACACTTAAGCTGTGGGTAATACTCTGCTTTTCAGTGGTACAAACCTGTTTGCCTCTTTCCCTGATGGCTAAAACCCTGTTAGACCTAAAAGCTGCTGGCCTGGGCTGACCACAGTTGCCCCATGACTCGGATTAGCAGAAAGGAGTGGAGAAGCTCCGCTCCTGCGAAGAGGGGAATGGAGGGAGCATGAGTTGTGGGGGATTGCCTTGGGGGAGCTGCCTGGAAGGTGGGGCCACCAGCAGCCTTCCTTGAAGAGATGTGTTTGTGGGCACAGGCAAGTCGCTGCCAATTATCACATGGTCCCCCAGGACTGTGGTGGCAGCCACACGACACCACAGCAGGTGGTGGGACAGAGGCATGCCATCACCAGGGAAGGGAGAGGATGGAGGCACCCAACTTGGTGTCATGCTCGTCTTTGCAGTGCTCTGACTCTCAAGGCTTTGTGAATCCTGCCAATTTAACTACTGGTTAATGAGGTTGTTAGGGACACTTAATTATTTGAGGAGCATAATGCTTTTGTGATATTGTTTTTTGTAGGTCCTTGAGGTCCATGAAAATTTGGACAGGCAAATGCAAGACAACTATGAAGAAGACCTGAGTGAAAAGGAGAAGGCGATTGTTCGTGAAATGTGCAATGTAATAACTCCTCTCAGCAGCTCTAGGGGTTTCTTTTGTGGTCTTAGAAGTACAGAGAGCAGGGGTCTGCTGCGTACAAGCCCTGTTTGATGCGGGATCCACAGGCACAAGGGAAGAGTGGAGGCTCTGCTGACCACTGCTTTGGGTATCAGTAACCCGAGTGCCTCGTTCACTGCATGGAGCAGCCTTTGCTCAGCAGATACTTCCCACTCTGCTGCCTTCAAGGGTGCAGAGTAGCTAGTCTAGCTGACCAAGAGCTGTGCAAAGGGCTCTCCCTGGTTTGGAGAGTCCTGTTAGCAGTTGACTCCAAGTGTGTCCTTAGGGACTTGGATTGGGCTGAGCAGCAACTGGTTGCTGTCTTTAAAGCTGTACATCTTGAATGGGTATGAGCCTAAACCATTAGATAACATCAGAGGGAGAATACTCATGTCTGAAGCTGTTGAACACCATCATGGTGTGTGGGGTGCTTTTAGCACTGCCAACATGTTGGGCAACCACACTGTTAACTGAGCTTGCCACGTCCTGTACGGTGAGTGTTCGTACCAAACCTCTGCTCTGTGGTGTCTGCTGCTGTGGCACTGCCTCCAGCTTCAAAGCACCTTGGCCACGCTTTGGCTTTGAACAAAGAGTTTGGCATTTCTGTTAGAATATGGCTCAAGCTGCATGTCACCTGCAGCCGGGGATGTGCTGTTCAACAGTACCAGCAGTGCCCACAGCAGGGAGGGGGATGCTTATGGAGCCTTCTCTTTTAGAAGTCCACATTGGAAGTCAGCCCAGGTGGCATCGTTTAGTGCCTCGCAGCAGCAGAGAGGAGCCTAACCCTCTGTTTAAATTCTGAAAACCACCTCAACCCTAAAAAGAGGGTGTAAAGAACACAAGTGCCTCTTGCAGAGCTAGATCACTGCAAGCATCCTTGGCAAGGGCCGAGGCACTTCACTTTGGTTGCTGGATCCCTATAAGCAAAGCCAAGACCAGAGTGAACGAGGGTCTGCTTTTTAGGATATTTTTGTCTGCTTGATGCCACATTCCCTTGTAGCCCTGCAGGGGGAAAGGTAAAACGCCGTAACTTCATTCTCCCAAATGGACTCGTAGCCCTGCAGGGGGAAAGGTAAAACGCCATAACTTCATCCTCCCAAATTTCTGTTTGTGTATCATCAGCTGTTTTTTCTTTAAATATTCATTTTATGTAGACTCAAGGCAGCTGTGAAGTGCTTTGCAGTTTCTTATTTTTTTAAAAAATAGCCTTTCTTACCCCAGTGGACCTAGACTGATAAAATGTATGTTTTTAGAAAGTCATATATATATATGTATATAAAATTTTAATCATTATCTTTTTCATTAGCTTGTCTGTTCATGGTAACATCATTTCTGTAAGCATGGCAGGGTTGACCTACCATTGAACTTAACTTCTGAACCTAGTGTATTTGTTTTATACTGTTACCCCAGGCAAAAATGGTTCTTATTTCAAGAGAGACTAATTAGAAAAATGCATCAATGTTTTTCCCTTGGAAACTGGTGCACAGATGCCATCCAGTGGCTCTGCTGAGAATTACAGCCCAGTTCTAGGAACTTTCAGACTACAATTATGAAAATACTGCAACTCATCAGAGGCTTTGGGTTTTTTTAATTCCTGTCTTTCTCTCCCTTACCCCTTTATTTTTTCTTACAGGTTGTCTGGCGAAAGCTGGGTGATGCTGCGAGCTCCAAACCCTCCATCAGGCAACATCTTTCGGGAAACCAGTTCAAGGGTCCCTTGTAAGAACACTGTCCCGGAGGCTGGACGCGATTGATTCTGTGAAGACTAAAGAGGCAGAGCTCAGCGTTTCTGGCTGCCTGTTCTTTGGGAGTTGGGGTTGAGTTTTTTTCAGGGTTTCCTTTTTTCTTTTTTTTTTTTTTTTTTGCTTTTTTTGTAACAATAGTGTAAATATGGCAGCTAAAGGCCTGATTTCCAGGCTGTGGTGCTCTGGAACTACTGTTCAATGGGTAACCATCCAATAATGCCAGACTTGCATCATTTGTATCGTAGTTCAAACCTGCTTTGTTGTAATGGTCTGTTTGTAGAATTAACTAACTTGAGAGAATTTCTAAGAGGAACAAGAAGAACCCTTAACCTGCGGAGAAGTCACAGTTTGTATCGCTCCGGTCCACCCGCTTGTCAATGATTCATAGCTGGGTTAGTGGCTCCAGGCAGCACTTTCCAAGGAAAAAGCAATTTGAATTGGCTTACTGCCTGCCAAGCTCCTGAGCTGCTAACACTTTTTTTGGAGGTCCTTATTTTGAAGAATGACATGCAACTGTTTTCACAAGGTGCTGTGTACAATATTGAGTGGCGACCTAAAAACACTGGTACCACTCTGTACATTGTACAGTGGTACTCATCACACAAGCGTACAGAAAGGCTTGAGACTCCGTATCAGCTGTTAATGAACTATTTTTCATGAACAAATAACACAAGATTTCTGCAGTCGTAATGTGAATGAACTGAAGTCACTTAGCCACACACCAGTATTCCCTACAAATATGGCAACACTTTTCCTGTAAAGCTTTTACTACAAAATAATTCAGCAGAAACTGCCGTCCTAACAGTGCTTACGGCTTTCACAGGATCTTCGAAAGCAGCTCATCTTTCACATAAGGAAGATTTGGGTTTTTTTTTTTTTTTAAATGTTCTTGCTGGAGCCCTCACCTATACTGGTTCCTGTGTAAGGTAACCAAACAACCACCTTGCAGAGCTGAATAAAAACTCCATTAACACAGGCTGTCGGGTGAGACTACTTCCTGCCATTCAAGCTTTATTTTTGTTAATGAACCAAAACAAGTGGGTTTTTCCTTCTTCTAATAGCTGTATATAAAACAATTGGACTTATATTTTGCTATTGTGGAGTAGCTGCTTGTATAGTTGTAAGAATTTGACCCCCTTCTTTTCCAAGTTGTCACAGCAGCTGTCCCTGTATTTTATTAGATGTTCTTTCCCAACAGTCCAAGGAAGCGGGGCTTGGTTATTAAAATAATTGATGTAAAATAATTTTAAAGACAGGCATGTGAAAAGATCAAAGCCTCCTCTTCAAAAGTTGTATCGATTTTAGTGATTAGTTTGAAGATTTAGTGACCTCAAACACCATCACTTTCTTTTTATTCTCTGTAAGAATCAGTCACAGCTACAGACAGCTGAATTAGCTGGACAGGTTCTTCCTCTTAAATTAATTTGTTCTACCAGTTCAGTTCTTGACTTGTGGTATTGTATTAACATGGAGCACCGATAACAATACCCAGGAGCCCATGCTGCAAGTTATGAAAGGTAATTGGTCCCATGGCATACAATAATCCAGCTGCCTGGGTAATTTGGAGTGTCAGAGCCGAGATCTGTAACCAGTAAAAAACACAGAGAAGGCATACAACCAAAATACATAGTAATCAGTAAGGGTAAGCACCACCTCATTATTCATTGCAGAAATAAAAATGTAACAGTCAAGATGAGTAGGTTGTTTGAAAAAAAACCCAAAGACCACCCCCAAAACACACACACGCATGCTCTCACTCACACACTCACCAGTAGTTTATTTCTTACTACTGCTCAGTCAGTGAACGCTGAGCTAGCTAACTGTAAGTCTAATAATATTTACATCCAATGTGTCTGGAAAAATCCATTCTAGAGTTTGTCTGTCTCCTTTAAAATATGGCATCCTTAGAGGATTCCGTATTTCCTCTTCTTTGCTTTTTGTTTTGACCTCCAGTTTCTAGTCACCATTGATTACTTGTCTTCCTCCTGTACAATTTATACCTTGAGATTTTCGTACCAGAAGAGGTGATGTAAAGCAGAGGCATCATTCTTCCTTAACATCTGATGTCGAATAGAGGGTTACTTTAATCTATCTGCTTGAAAGTCCATTTTAATTTTGGTGGCATCTCATCACTGGATTAAGCAGAGGATTTAAGCATATTGGGAACGAGGTTCATTTATGTCAGTGAATTTTAACTAAAGCAATGCAAATGTTGCCAGCACTTGTAGGGAGTTAATTGTGTTGACGTGCTTGCTATTTTAGGAGTATATTAGACTAGCAGGTCCTCTCAACAAGACAAGAGCTATACTAATCAGATTACTAGTCTCACCAGCTATGTAATTCTCATTCAGATATTCCCTGCTATCACATCTCTCTCAAAATCTGTTCAACGACTTCAAGCAAAGCTTGTTTTGTTCCACCTGCGGATCTCACCTACAAGGGAAATAGCGGTGCAGTTGAGGTCCATTAGCACTGCAAATCCTGAAGAGCCAGTTTACAGGGTAGCCAGTAGTTCAGCTGAAGAGTCTTGATGCTCTTAGGGTATATCCTGTTTCTTTAAGATTCTATTTGGCAGCATAAATCTTCAATGTAAGACGTGCATCATTGATTTTGCACAAGAACATGACAGTGCTGTACATTGGGGTGTTATTTTGGGGGGATTTTAGGCTTGCTACTCTTCATACTTAGCTCCATTTGAGCTATGAAGTTATCTTCCTGGGGTAAAATGACACTCAATGACTTTACAGGATGACTTGGGTGCTGAATTTTCAGTTGTCTAAAAAGATGTTTTATATGCGTATTTAAATTCACTTACCTATGCGCTAAGTCTTCAGTGAAAACTACCGGAGGAGCTTTGAACATCAAGTTGGAGGGGAGCATCCCTTGAAATAGCGGCCATTACATTGATATATTTGGGGCAACAGTCCAAGTTAATTTCCTCAAGATTGAAGCCCTGGGTTCTGCAATCCTCTGGCCAAGAAAGCATCCATTGTTTGCAAATGGACTTTGCTTGCTTAAGGAAGGTAAAATCGCATCCTTGACTTCTGTTGGAGTGGCTGAAGTGAATGGCATTTCCATAAAAGTTGCTGAAATGCTGCGGTGTAACCAGCTTCAGTCGGCTCTTTGCACCTTGATAAGACTGCTGAGCACAACCTTGTTTGAGAATGGCACATTTTTATCCAAATATTAGATATTAAACGAAATCAGTGTTAAAGTGACCTTTTATCTTTTTAGAAACTGTGGGGGAAGAGTACTACTGATCTTTTTCAAAGTGCATGACTGTAAAGTGATAAAATTGTATATTTTTCATAATGTGGGGAAAGTCTATTTGTGCTGCTTTAGAAATCAGTTTAAAGTTTGATTTCTGTTAAACCTGTGATCTTACAGCCCTGCTATATTTTCTGTATATTATTTACAAAGAACTGGAAAAGTTAGCACCTGCTGTTGTGTATATAGCAAAATTCTTTAGACCTTAGCACGCGTTTTTACCTATTATTGAACCACTCTGGCTTTTTTGGGGAGGGATTGTAATAGTACAGATTTTTTTGATTCATTTGAAATATTTTAGTAAAAATGAAGTAAGAGATTGATTGTGATAGTGTATACTTCTAGTTGAATAAAATAAAATACATTCTTTTTAAATAAACTGATGAATAAGATTTGGGAGACCACTGCTGAAATATCTTGCAGTAAGTACCGTAGTTATGAATTCTGAACTACTATGAAAAACCTGGAAGTCCACCAAATTCAGAACCAATTTTATTTGGGTAGATGTGAACAAAGTAGTCCCATTTATAACCAGGATGTACATCACAGTAGGCTGTTACATTCAGACTTTCACACTTAGAAAATATATATATTATGTACAGGAATTTGCAAATAGGTGTAAACATACAATACTTTAAGATACCAGTACATTCCAAAACAAAAATATCAGCAACGCAAACACCTCAAAATGATTCCAGTCAGCTAGCATTCAGAATCTCTCTTAAATAAAGTAGCTTTTATGCTTGACATTGTGTTGTTTTAATTATTACTAAAAATGAAGTTTTACTATAGATAAAATTTCATGGTATCTGGCTATTTTGATACTCAAAAATAGGCACTGATTTCTAGAAGGACATTTTCTTCTTACTGATATAATTGAGCCAATATGGCTGGTTTTGCTAGTACAAAGTAATCCAGTGCTGGAATAACTCAAGACAATTTAAACTTAAGTCAAATGTATAAAGTTAGAATAGATACTGCAAAGCTGATTAAAATCTAGAAGCCTATATAACTCACCATAAACAATACTGCAAACAGATCAGCTAAATTGTCATTTCACTGCCTCATTTCTTCATCTAAATTATACAAATTATCCTCCTCTTCATCTTTACAAAGTAGGTTTTGGCTAGCTACTCCTGCCTAGTCAACATAAAGGATATCGTGCAAATTACCTCATGCTATCTCATCCATGTAGCACGTCCAAGTCCTGCTACAGGTGGCATACCAGGTGGTGGAATTGGAGGTGGTACAGGTGGCTGTCCACCTGGGGGAACAGTAGGCGGGGGGTAACTAGCTGGTGGCATTCCCAGCCCTGGAGGTGGATGAGGTGGTACTGCATGAGTTGGAGGCAGTCTTGGAGGAGGGAAATTAGGGTTGTATGTAGGTGGAGGAGGATATCCAGGAGTAGGAGGTGGAATATTGGGCGGGGGGAATGAAGTAGGGGGTGGAGGTGGAACTGGTGGTGGAGGGTTGGGAGGATAGACATGAGGATGATATGGTAGATGAGTTGGTGGTCCATAGGCCGGTGGTAAAGCTCCGTAAGTTGGTCCTTCTGTTTTCATCATTGACTGAAGACTTTGATAACCCTCCCCTGACATGTAGGAATTTGTAGTAGACATCCCTGTAATATAACTGGTGGGGGGTGGGGGTGGGGGACGATGCGGCAGAGGTGGAGGTTGATGTACTGGGGCAGGATGAGCAGGGGGAGGAA